TAGGGTTAGTGTTAGGTTTATTGATAGTTTTAGAGCACAATTAGGTTTAGGGTTAGCTTTAGGATTAGTGTTAGGGTTAGGGTTAGGTTTAGGTTTAAGATTAGGGCACCCTTATGGTAAGGGTTAGGGTTAGGGTTAGGGACTAGGTTACGGTTTGGGTTAGGGTTAGGGCACAGTTAGGGTTAGGATTAGGGTTAGGTTTAGGGTTTGTTTTAGGTTTAGGGCGCAATTAGTTTTAGGGTTAGGATTAGGGTTAGGTTTAGGGTTAGGGTTAGGGTTAGTGTTAGGGTTAGGATTAGGGTGCCTTTATGGTAAGGGTTAGCGTTAGGGTTAGGGTTAGGGCTAGGGTTAGGGCTAGGGTTAGGGTTAGGTTGTCATTGGGGTTAAGTTTAGGGGTAGGGTTAGGGTTAGGTTTAGGTTTAGGGTGCCATTAGGGATAGAGTTTGGGGAAGGGTTAGGGTTAGTGCACAATTATGGTTAGGGTTCGGATTAGAGTTAGGGTTAGTTCAAAATTAAGTTTAAGGTTTGGGTTAGGTTTACGGGGCAATTAGGGTAAGGGTTAGGATTAGAGTTAGGGAACCATTAGGGTTATGGTTAGGGTTAGGCTTAATGTTATGGTTAGGGTTAGGGTTAGGTTTAGGGCACCATTAGGTTTAGGGTTAGGGTTAGGTTAAGTGTTAGGGTTATGGCAAAATTAAGTTTAGGGTTAGGGTTAGAGTTAGGCTTACGTTCCCATTAGGGTTATGTTTTGGGTTAGGGTTAGCTTTAGGGTTAGGGTTAGTTCCGAGCGTTAAGGATAGGGTTGGGTTTAGGGTTAGGGTGAGGATTAGGGTTAGGGCACAATTAGGGTAAGGTTTAGGGTTAGCTTTAGGGTTAGGTTTAGGTTTAGGATTAGAGTGCCATTTTGGTTTGCTTTAGGATTAGGTTTAGGGTTAATGTTAGGGGTTAGGGTTAGGTTTATTTTTATTGTTAGGGCACAATTAGATTTAGGGTTAAGGTGAGGATTAGGGTTAGAGTTATGGTTAGGGTTAGGTTTAGGATTAGGATGCCCTTATGGTAAGGGTTATGAGATGGGGAGTCTAAACAATCTTAGATTGATGGTGCAAGGCCTGTGCAAAGACAACGGGAGGCGTATGGGACTGTTTGAAAAAGACATACCAGGTGCTGATAACCTTGCTCAGAGACTATTCCCTAGCCCAAAGAGAAGTCTCCCTTAGTCCTTGACGTTGTGGGTACCAGCAACAGACTACCCAAACACCAGCATAAACTGGCCTGGCAATCTGGACAGAAGCCAGAGAACAAATGAGGCTGCGCAGAGCGACAGGGTGAAAAGTTCATCAGCGAGGAGGAAGAGGTACTTCATCTTTACGACCCCTCCCCAGGAAGTTGCGACCCCAGCCCGGAGCTTGGAGAGCTCATCGCGCAGGCGCAAGGGGAGGAGACCTGATTACCATGAGAAGCGAGGGGAGGCGGGGGTAGACTATGTATATGTATAGGCGTTTTATGAATATGCACTATTTTGTAACATATAAGCCGGACGAGAGCTGCAGACGGTGCGCATGCTTGTGGTGGAGCGATCCCCCATGCGCCCAGCGCTGAATAAACATACCCACTTTATAACCCCAAAAGTTATAGAGTGATTTCTCTGCAAAACATCTTGGCACCCCAGATGGGACCATCTCTGCTCGGCTGCAGGGACACTGCTGGAGGGTGGACGTCCTAGGTGCACCCCGAGCTCTTCTCGGAGGAACTCCGCTCCCAGCTGTCCACTGCGGGAGCAGACAAGGACCATCTGGTTCGCGGACAGAGGTATGTTTAAGGGTAACGGGCTGCTGGTAAGACGCACAGAGACGTCTGGCGCACGGCTCAGTCCCGAGGAGGGGGTGTACCCATTTGGTTTTGGCTTTGGGAATCCGCGGGAAAGTAAGATCTTTTGGGGCCAACTACTGATGACTGGTATATAAGAGGCAGTTTGCATTTTGGGCAGGGTACTGGTATTTACCGTCACCTGCAGGATCTTGCTTCAGGTCATTGTACAGTGCACTAATGGTGGATATACTGGCTTTGAACTGACTGCTAATTGTTAACGGTTTATGATATATGTTACAAATGGATTTGGTGATTGTTTAAACTCGGTATATTTTGTGGTATGAGTGAAAAGTGTGATGGGCCCCTTAAGTGTCTGTGTGCCTGTGTGGTGTAAGAGCAGCCGCTGCTGTGTGTCTGTGTGTCTGTGTGCCTGCGTGCCTGCAGGGCCAGGGTGTGAGTGAGAGCAGCCGCTGTGTGAGAGAGAGGCAGCTGCTGCAAAACAAATGAGTTTATGTCTGTTTAAACAATACACTGTCCTTGTATGTCTTGTGAAAATATTGTATGAATCGGAGATGGGAAAGTAAATCCCTTCTCTGTCGGTTTGGGTTAGATTTGGTCGGATTATTTGTGTATAAGGAGTGAATGGTCGGCACGGGGAAATGATTTATACCTGCTAGAAGGATTATACACAGCTCCTTCTGGGCAACTGGTAGTACCAGACTGGGTTCGTGGGAGAATCCCCTGCTTTCTCTGTGCTCCTATGCTCCTACCTTTAGTAATTTTCATCAAGCTTGGGTATTAGCAGAGTGCGTAGATTGTCGATGTAAGTGGTATTATGAGTCTGATAAGAGGAGGTCGAGGTGTGCAGAGTGATGGGAAGAAGAGGTGTCAGACCTCTCAGTTGAAAGACAGGAGTCGATAAATATTGTGTGGAAGAAGTCATAAGATACCGGAACTTTTGGAAGTGAAGGAGGAAGAGTGGGAGAAGGTTAAAAGACAGTGTAGCGGGGAGAGGAAGCACGGAAAGCAAGAAAATCTTGATTAAATATTGTAACCAGTGGTGGCCACTTTACAAACTAGAAGCAGCAGCTAAATGGCCACTAAATGGAACCTTAGACTATAACACACTTTTGCAATTAATGTTATTTTTACAGAGGGAAGGGAAGTAGGAGGAGGTGTCTTACGCAGACATGTTCTTTACCCTCTGAAATCACCCAGGGTGGCAGAGGGACTGTGGACTAGTTCCACCATAAGATCCTTTAGTGCTTGCCCTGGAAAAGATTATAAGGGAGCTACTAGCCAAAGTGAAAAGGCTTATTTTTGCAAACCTTTGAAATATAAACTGGGAAAGCAGTTAGGCATACACAAATTTCTGTATATGCCTTACTCCACAAAAGACCCCCTAGGAAGACACTTACTAGAACAATTAGGAGCAACCATTACCTTTAACAACGGAGAGATTACTCTGGAGTAAATAACCAAGAACTTATATAAATTATGAGCTTGTCCCTAACTAGTATCCCCACAGGAGGAGAAATCAGTGAGGAAATTATCAATCAAGTGTATCCCGGAGTGTGGGCCACTGACACACCTGGAAGGGCAAAGAATGCCTCACCCGTAGAGGTAAAACTTAAGGAAGGACAACAACTGGTAAGAATTAAGCAATACCCTTTAAAAGGAAGATCAGGAAGGGATCTAGCCAGTTATAGAAAATTTTTTTACAAATAGGATTAATAAATAGATCTCCACCCAGTGGTGGCAAACCCATACACTTTGTAAACAAAATTAACTCCTGAGCTAATCTGGTTTACTGTTGTAGACCTCAAGGATGCTTCCTTTTGCCTCTCTCTCGTTGAAGCCAGTCAGAAAATATTTGCATTTGAATGGGAAAATCCTAGGAGTGGACGGAAGACCCAGTTAACCTGGACGGTGCTGCCACAAGGATTTAAGAACAGCCCCACTATATTTGGCAAACAGCTAGCAAAAGACATTGAAACCCCAACCCCACCCGAAGAGGGAAGGCTGCTGCAGTATGTAGATGACATCCTAATTGCCACCAAGACAAAAGAGGCCTGCGTGACCTATATGGTAAGCCTTTTAAAATTTTCTGGGACTTCAGGGTATCTAAAAAGAAGGCCCAAGTAGTGCAGCGTGAAGTGATCTGTCTGGGCTATGAAATCAGTGCTGGAAAGAGAACCTTAGGATAAGATCAGAAAGAAGAAATTTGTCAGACTTCAAGGCCACAGACAGTGAAAGAACTTCAAACATTCCTGGGAATGACTGGGTGGTGCAGACCATGGATTTATAATTATGGATTGCTTGTTAAACCTTTATATGCACTAACCGTCACTCAACAGAAAAATCTCCAATGGAATAAGGAGGCCATACGAGCCTTTGACCTGTTAAAAAAGGCTCTGCTGTCAGATCCAGCTTTGGGACTCTCAGATGTAAGTAAAACATTCTTTCTCTTTTCACATGAGAAACAGGGAATTACACGGGGAATACTGGCACAAGACGTAGGCCCGTATCGTTGGGCAGTCGACTATTACTCCAAGCAACTAGATACAACTGCTAAAGGTTGGCTTGGATGCCTACGAGCGATTGCAGCAGTGATCCTAAATATACAGGAGGCATGAAAATTCGCTTTAGGCGAGAAAATGACAGTATTTGTATCTCTCAAAGTCTGCAGTATTGGAAATTAAAGGGGGACATTAGCTTGGGCCTGAAAGGTTCTGAAAATATCAGGCAGAATTAGTAGGACAAGATGATGTGGAGATTGTAGTAACTAACATTATTAACCCAGCTTGTTTCCTGACTGGAAATACAGGAAAACAAGAGCAACATGACTGCCTAGAGAAAATCGAGGCAGCATACTCAAGCTGCACAGATTTGAAGGATGCCCCGCTGGAAAATGCTGAGAAGATTGCTTTGCTCAGAATGAGTCTTGGTGTGTTTCTACCCGGAAAATGACTTTTCGGCCGAAAACGTGCACGTTTGCACTTCCCCGCCAGAGAGAAGCTGTTAGCCGGGAATTCTCTTGCTGGTTGTAACCGCTGCCCGGAACGCTATGCAGGGCAACAGCGATTCTCGTCCTCCGTGCTTGCTTTTTCTCAGAATGGG